TACTATTTTGTCATGCAGAAATGTTTCTTTTTAATGTAGCCAAATTTACTGATTTTTTTAGTTTTATGTCTCCTGGATTTTAAGTCATAGTGAGAAGCCTTCTTTACTTCCAGGTTATAAGAGAATTCTCCCCTGTCTTCTAGTACTTCCTGATTTCACTTTGTAAGTTAAGATCTTTAATCCATTTGGAATCTATCCATATAAGCCATGAGGTATAGATCCAGTTTTTCCCTCTGGATTCCTACCCAGCTGTCCCAACACCACTTGTTGAATAGTCCAAGTTTCTGTCACTGATTTGAGACGCCATTTTTTATCATGTACTAAATTCTTGTAAGAATTCCTATTCCTGGATTCTATAATATCTTTCACTGATCTTTCTACATATGAACTAGTACCACAATATTTCAATTATTAAACATTATGTTTTAAAAACTGGAAGGACTGGTTCTCCTTCATTGTTTTCTTCAGATTTTTCATGGTCATTTAAGAGAATTTTTTTCCTTACAGACATTCAAATCAGCTTATCTAGCTACAGAAAAAATCCTATTATATTTATTTTAATTATGATAAACCTATATTTTTCAACTTAGAAATAACATATTAAATACTGTAGAGGGAAGTAACATTTTTATCATGTTGAGTCATACCATCAAGAAGACATTCTATCTGCCTATTTGTTCAAGATTACTTTGTACCTCACAAGCATATGTAAGCTTTCATCCTGTGGTCCTTATACATTCTTGTTAATTTCTAGGCATTTTTTTGTATATACTTTTTCTTGCTGTGATAAAAGCAGTCTTTTCAAAAAACATATGAATGCTACAGATTTCAGTATATTAACCTTGCTCCCTGCTACCTTAGTTTCCTTATCACTTGTTGTTTTTCAATTAATTTTCTTACCACATTGTTGTTCAGTTGCTAAGTCACATCTGACTCTTTGCAAACCTCGGGACCATAGGGCATATAAAGCAGTATGTATATCTTACCACATATAAAGTAGTAATTTTAACTCCTGCTTTCCAATGATTTTTTATTTATTTTTTCCATTTATTTTTATTAGTTGGAGGCTAATTACTTTACAATATTGTAGTGGTTTTTGCCATACATTGACACGAATCAGCCATGGATTTACATGTGTTCCATATCCCAATCCTCCCTCCCGCCTCCTGCATCCCTCCCCATCCCATCCCTCTGGGTCTTCCCAGTGCACCAGCCCTGAGCACTTGTCTCATGCATCCAACCTGGGCTGGTGATCCTTGATAGTATACTTGTTTCAAGGCTATTCTCTCAGAACATACCACCCTCGCCTTCTCCCACAGAGTCCAAAAGTCTGTTCTGTACATCTGTGTCTCTTTTTCTGTTTTGCATATAGGGTTATCGTTACCACCTTTTAAAATTCCATATATATGCATTAGTATACTATATTGGTCTTTATCTTCCTGGCTTACTTCACTCTGTATAATGGGCTCCAGTTTCATCCATCTTATTAGAACTGATTCAAATGACTTCTTTTTAATGGCTGAGTAATATTCCATTGTATATATTTACCATAGCTTCCTTATCCATTCATCTGCTGATGGGCATCTAGGTTGCTTCCATGTCCTGGCTATTATAAACAGTGCTGTGATGAACATTGGGGTGCACGTGTCTCAGATCTGATTTCCTTGGTGTGTGTGCCCAGGAGTGGGATTGCTGGATCATATGGCAGTTCTATTTCCAGTTTTTTAAGGAATCTCCACACTGTTTTCCATAGTGGCTGTACTAGTTTGCATTCCCACCAACAGTGTAAGAGGGTTCCCTTTTCTCCACACCCTCTCCAGCATTTATTGCTTGTAGACTTTTGGATATCCTGCTTTCCAATGTTTAAATCTTGAATTTCTTTTTCTTTTCTATTACTAAACAGTTTTAACACCACAGAATCTGAATTGTTCTGAAAGAAAATGCTTTCTGAACTTTTATTTAGTGTTATCAAAAAATAAGATCAGATAAAGATTTAAAGTCATTTTGCTTTTCCCCAAACACAGTTCTCCATAAGACCCTAATCTTAACAAAGTGGCTTGTTAAATATTGTGCTTTTTAGGCATTTAATTCCCCTATGCTGATTCCGTCTTAGTTCTGAGAGTGATGGAGGGAGGCATGTAAAGGGTGGGTCATCCCTGGTAGGTTGCGGACCAGCCAGATGCACATTAATGAGTATGTCATTAGCTGGGGCAGGGGATGTGTCTATTGGTCACAAATGGTGGTTTCTTTCCCACTTCTGTTTTTCCTCCCCCACCAGGAAAGCCACTCAAATACACAGGGAGCTATCTAGAGAGCTGATCGTGTATTTAGATGACCCTATACATGGAATTTATTCAAGCAAACAATGCAGTGACGTGCACAGGCTCCTATGTGAGAGGCTAGAAATAGAATTTACTGGAGGGAAAAACCCAAGATTTTAAATCTAAAGTTTAACGGGGGTGGGGACTCAAAATACAATATTACATTGAACACCAAAAGGAAAAAGATACGCTTCTTGTTATCTTCTGCAGTATTTTTTCACTGCTCTTAGCAGCTTGTTCCTAGGAATACAAACCTTCTCAAACTCAGTCATTGCTCTAAAAGGGTATGTTACACCTCACATGATCAACCCAGAAAGAAGAAACAATTGGTTTAGTCAAAGAGAAGTATTTAGAAAATGTTCTTTGGCCGTATGGCCACACTTCTCATGTTTTCAAGCTTTTCACTCTTGGCACTGCTCTTCCATGATAAAATATGATCATTTCCATCTTAAAACAACTACTTGCTTGTGTAGGGAAAGGAAATGGAGCCCTCAAGGCTACTTCTGTCCTACTAACACCATCCAAGAAAAACCAGTCCATCCGCAGTTTTGTCTTCACTTGAGAAGTTAAGTGTTGGAGAGGTCCGCATTTACGGGGAGAAAGGACTCGGACCGGCTTGAGATGTAGAAAAGATGCTGTTCCAAGCACACAGGGTACAAGAGGACCAACCCCGCCGTCCCCTCCCCAGCGTGGTGTGAGCCCTTTCGGCTATTTGCCAGACAAAATAAACCAACAAAGACCTGTTTGCTGAGAGTTACAGGAACAAGTGCGGATGCTGTTCGGGTTTGAATGCCAGCTCTTCCACTTGTATAACTTGAACCTGCCTCTGCAACAGCTTTCTCAGCTGTAAAATAGGGATGGAAATATCTACCACACACAGGTTTTATGAGGTCCAAGTAAATTAACACATGTTAAGAGCTTAGAAAAGTACATAATTTTCTGGCAAGCATCAAACTCAATAGGTGTTTGTTATTATCATCAATATCAAGATATAAGCTTTCCAGGGAATTAGAGTAACCATCCCATTGATAGTAAGAGGAGAGTTTATTCAACTCTGGTTAAATTACAGCCTTAAATAGTCTATTCTCTTTCAATTCCTTCTTCAGGCCCAATTACAAATAGTGTCCTTTAAAAAAATCCTTCTCAAAAAAAAAAAAATCCTTCTCAAAAGACAAACACTGCATGACCTCACTTATATGTGGAATCTAAAATAGTTTATCTCACAGAAGCAGAGAACAGAACGTAGTAGCCACAGGGTGGGGGTGGAAGGGGAGATGTGGTCAAAGGGTATAAAGTTAAAAAAAACTTCTCTCCACATATTAAATAATTTTCTTTTGAGTTACTGGAATATTTTAGTTTTTTTCTGGATTTAGTTATGTTTCATTGAGATATGTTTATGACATCTAATAAGAAATCAGATTTTAAAAAATAAGGTATTACAGAAAAATAGTATGGTATTCTCCTCTGGAAGGAACTCTCTCCTCTTTAATTACTTATAACACAAAGTATTTTAGAAAAGGACACAAGGATGGTTAACTATATTCTTCCCCGTGTTCTGTTAAAATCTACTCATTTTTCTTAGCACCTGCTATCTCAGCATTTTTCAAGCTGTTAGATGATTATGAAACATATTACTTTTTAAAAAACTGAAACAGACTAGGAACTATTAGTAAGAAAGAAGTCTTGTTTTGTGAGACTTTATTTCTGTTTCCATATACATCAGTATGAATGAAGATACATGTATACTGGAGTTGTGATGTAATAACATTTCATACTGGGAATCCTGACCACAAGTTTGATGAACATTATACTAGGGAGCTGGCATAATGCCTTGGTTCTACTTAAATTGTGATTATCTGGAAGAGATTTTGCACAGAGGTCTCATTCACTGTAAACATATAATTTTCAAAAGAATGGTAATGCAAAATAAACCCAAGTCCTCCTTGAGTGCCTCTCAGCATCCTGATGGTGATGGAGATTATTAACTGCATCTCCCCCCCAGCCTTCCCAATGGCTTACACAAGAGCCACTGATCACGGCAGCGCAACTCCTGCTTCGCCCTTAGAGCTTTAATTACAGGGGACCTCCTCTGTGCCAGGTATTGCCCTAGTTGATAGGGATGAATGACTGTGAAAGCAGTTTGCGGAGTGATGTTCTTGAGAAGGACCTGTTCTCTATTCTCACTGAGAAAAAAAGGTGTGTTGACCATCTGGCCTTGCCCACCAAGGCCTGCTTCTTATGGAGAAATCTAGAGCCAAAGAAACTAACAATATCCGGTTGCAATAAAAAAGCAAAAGTAAACAATGTATACTTCGTATAAATAGTTGCAGTAGAAAAAACACATCAGCTACTTTCAAAAATCATTCATTTGGTTGGTAATAATTCACACAGTACTTTTTGTTAGCTCAAGGATTGTCATCTGGAGACTAATTTTTTTTTTTTTTTTTTTACTGTTTGTTGAGTTTTCTCCTTATTTAGCCTGGTTCCTAATCCATTGTCCTAAATCAATATGCATATTGCAAACAGCCCCTCCCTGTTTATCCCTGGCCTTCTATAAACTATAAGCTCTCTGCAGGCAGTGAATATCTCCTTTGAGTCACTTCCCATGATACCCAGAAGAGTAAGAGACTCTCACCAAGTACCCAAAAAGTTTTGTTAATGGATAAGGAAAGCTCTTACCTTGGAGGAACTGGTAGCCTGGGGCATAGCAAGTCTGCATTTGGAATCTGGGTGTAGTTGAAGGAATTCAAATTATAAACACACAGGAAGGACCCTGGAAGCAGAAAACACACAGGCTATACCATTTTCCTACATTGTACTTATCTCTCTAAGGGAGCTAGTAAAGAAACCATAGTCATTTTACCCAACTGGGGAAAAGATAGAATAAACCACTCAGATTTAGAAAACAGGTCTCTGGGTGTCCTAAAGACAAAAAGAATAAGCATCCAGTTGAGATCAAATCAGGTTCTCTCCTTTCCTCTCTCCAAAATGTCAAATTCAAAAGTTATAAAATGATTGGTAACAAATAAATGATTTGAAGATGATTTATTATATAGGCTTGATATTTTTAACCCAGTCTTGCAAATAATTTTTAAAAATCTGGCACCCCACTTCTCAGGCAGATGAAATTTGCAGTGGGCTGCCTCAAATTTCTTCTTACTTCCCTTTGCTTGTTTAATCTTTAAAATATAAATCTGAAAAGCAGGCTCAGAGTAAGTTACACAAGTGCTTTTGGAACAACATACAACTGTCCCACCGGTCAGTGAAACTATCCACAGCCCGAATATTTTAATGAAAGAACATACTTGTCGGCAATTCAACCCAAAGCCTGTGGGTGCCTCTCTAGGACTGGATGTGCCAAGTGCACTTCTCTGACCTCCATCTGACCCTGCCTTCGGGCCCTCAGTGTCTGCTGTTTCCTCCCACTTTCTACAGACCCTGGCAGTAAGCAGAGAACAGATAGGGTTTCAGATGAATTCCAGATAAACCTGAATGCAATTAAGCTCAGGAGAAAATGTTTATGGCCCTTTCTACACAAGGAGAGGCACCCACAAGGAAGAGGACAATTTCCCACTTTGCAGAGGAAGCAGGGGCAAGGCAAGTGATCTGATCTATGTGTGTACAGGTTACCCTGCTGTGACCCCCAGCCTTAGGGGGAATAGCGACCCCATCCTTCGGTACCCACCACTGGTGTTTGCAAAGAGCTGGACCTCTTCCAGGGTATCAAGCTGCTCTTCAGGACAGCTGGACACACAGAGAACGATGGAACCGAGCCTCACATCCCTGACTTCCAGGTTGCAGGAATTCATAAAAAACACGTGTCTAGGAGGCAGATAAAACAGAAGGAGAATGTCGGAGAGCATTTCCCGTCGTTGAGTTTAACTGTGGGACTTAAACGATAGCCACACGCTATCAAACATGGGAATAATTAAAGCCAACTTTCATCATCAAATACTTCCTGCATAATTTAACAAGTATTATGCCCACCTGGGGTCATCTATGGAGTTGTACAGTTTGGGAGCTGTATTCAAATGTTAACAAAACTTCCCTCTTCCAGATTCAGCATTTTCTGGGATGTTGATAACACTAAAGGGCTGATAACACTGCCCTGGGTCTGCTAGGTGAGGCCAGTGCATGAATGATTCGTGAAGTCCACAGAAAGCATGGTGTATTCAACTGTATCTCAGAGAATAGCTCAACCCAGGGAAGTGAGAAGAGGAGAGGTGGCGGCTGAGGCTGTGAATTAAAGGCTCACCCCTCCCCTGCCTCCCAGTCTGAGCCAGGAAACTCTAGACCCTTCCTGCGGCAGCTGCCCAGGCACTGGGCACAGGAACAAAGCTGCTTGTTGCCATTAGCGAGGTCACGTGAGGGCTGGCAGCGGCAGCTCCCAGACCCATGCCCTCCACTTATCCGGGCTGCTGAGATCAGAGCAGTGTCAGGTCAAGAGCCCTGTAGGCAGTCCTCCAGGACAGAGCCCTGGAGAAGGGGTCCCAGAAGCTTCTTTCCCCTCAACTGGGGTTGGGAGAGGGGGGAGGTGGAGTAACAGGAGATGGGTGAACAGATTTCCAAGCGTATGATAACTATATACTTTATTCTACTTATTTTATTAAGTTTTAAAAATTTCAGTAAAATACACATAGAATTTTACCATCTTAAAGATTTTGTGTGCGCAGTGGCATGAACTACATTCACGTTGTTGTACAACTGTCACTACCACCCTCCCCCCCCCCAAAAATCTTTTCATCTTGCCAAACAAGCTCTGTACCCACTTAATAATAATTCATCATCCCCCAATCCTGGCAACCACCATTCTACTTTCAGTCTCTATGAATGTGACTACCCTAGACAGCTCATATATGTGGAATCAAAACGTTTATCTTTTTGTGATTGATTTATGTCACTTATCATAATATCCTCAAGATTTATCTATGTCGCAGCATGTGTCAGAATTTCTTCCCTTAAAAAGGCTAAATAATATCCCATTATATGTATATACACTTTGTTTACTATTCATCTGCTAGACACTTGGTTGCTTCTACCTTTTGGCTCTTAAGAATAATAAAATATATACTTTTCGTTTCAAAGAGGATGACTGTTTGCCAGCATTGCATTATGAATACAGTGTCCAAAGAGAAGCACAGGTGTATCTGGGAAGCCTCTTCCTCCTATGTTCTGTGTGAGTGACACCCACAAGTGTATGGGGAAATGGCCCCGGGGCAATCCATTTCCAGCAATGCAGAGCCCCTTACTTGAGAGCAACATTCACGGGTAGAAGAGGCCTGCTCTGGGATCTGTATTTGGTGACTCCAAACTTACACCTAGGACCTTATACACTTAAGATGTCTTTCCTAGGAGCTGCTTTTGTTTGTCAAGTCTTGAAGTTATTATAAGACCTTATCCATCTTAGAAAATCATGGCCAGGGATTTCTCTCCCCTCGGGGGATTCCTGTCTCTTCTCTCCCCTTTTGGTTTCTTTTGGAGTCAGAGGGATAAGAGCATGCACCACAGTGCCACAGCTGAGTGTAGGCTGTGGAGGGAATGGGACACATGTTCTCAACATCCCCAGGTGGGATTGAGGTATTTCCACATAGAAACAATACTGTGTTTGGTGTATAGTTAGTAACATGATTCTGATGCATTGTAGATAATAATGCTTCCCAGGTGGTGCTAGCGCTAAAGAACCTGCCTTCGAATGCAGCAGACTTTAAGAGATGCAGGTTCAATCCCTGGGTTGGGAAGATCCCCTGGAAGAGGAAATGGCAACCTGCTCCAGTATTCTTGCCTGGAAAACTCCACAGACAGATGAGCCTTTCGGGTTACAGTTCATGGGGCTGCAAAGAGACACGACTGAATGACTAAGCTCACACATATACACACACACACACACACACACACAATGGATAATAATAGTGACAATTTATACTTATTAAGCCTTAGCTCATGCACTGTCTCAGTGGATCCTGAAAACAGCCTTATGAGACAGGTATAATCACTGGTTTAAAAGATGAAAATTCAGCTCAAGGTCACACAGCTGAAAAGCAGCAAGGATTGAATTTGAACTTGGGACTGGCTGGTACTAAAACCTGTGTCCTTACTACCACATTAAAATTTCCTTTTATGAGTTGGGGTTGATCAAGTTTTGAGCGGGAAAACAGTTTCCAGGCTCAACATGACTAATTTATACAAAGTTGTGAAATCTAGCACCTCGGTAGGTTGAGGACTTACTTCCACACTTACTTTTTTTGAGTCATGTCCTGCCCTGAAAGAGGAGCCCCTTCTACTGGGGAGTTCTTCTTGCCACAGACATTCCCAAAGCTGTCATAGCCGAAGAGGAGTCTTCCTGCGGCGCCAGCCGCCACTGAGTAGCCCATGATGAACACCTGGCAAAACCCAAGTGGCACGTGAGAGCCTGGCCAAAGGGCTGGAAAGCAGCGCCCCACGTCCCTGAATGCTGACATAAAATGGAACCTGGTAAAATCAAATCTCCCCAGCACCAATGCACTTCCCTCCTTCAGCAGTGACACCAGCAAGTCAGATCAATTAGGGGTCCCCAGCCTCCATGATCTAAGGCCTGACGATCCGAGGTGGAGCTGATGTAATAAGAGAAATAAGGTACACAATAAATATAATACGCTTGCATCATCCCCTAACCATCTCCCATCCCCGTCCGTGGAAAAACTGTCTTCCATGAAACCAGTCCCTGGTGCCAATCAGGTTGAGAACCACTGATAAGGGTACTGCTTATCTAGTACTCACTTTAACAAGTTACGGAGGGACACTATTCTAAAACTCTGAAGCAGATTCCTCTCTGCTTTCTCCCCTTCTTCCCTAAGAGTCTGTCATTTTCTCTTCTTGCCTAAGATCACCAGGATAACTCAAACTTTTGCCCCTTGTTTTATCTAAGGCACTGGGGCTCTGCTTCTTTCCCTGAGGTTCTATCCATCCATCCACCTTTCCACCTCTCTCTCCTACTTCCTCTTCCACTTTTATTTTTATCTTGTATTTAGGGGACTGATCTTCAGGGGTAGAAGCAACACAGTTGAAAAATACCAAAATACTGTCTGTAACAAGTGAGAAAATTGTGCTTTGGAATAAGTGCTTAAAATACATAAGGAATCTCAGGAATTTTGCTGGACAAGAACATCATGCAATCTGTAGTCACTTTTGTCCAATTCCGTAATGAATATGGAATATTTAAAATTTCAGCTCAAGTGACTAGTCCCTTAATATGCATTGATGGGCCCTCTACTCAGATTGAGTTTGTATCTTCCCATAACACAAGCTTAGTATCATACATTTCTCTATCTGTAATACAGAAAATACCATTCAATATTTGGAAAAAATAACTGTGGTACCAGATGTTCCAAAAGGACATATTCCCAAAGTCAATTATGTTTCAGATACTTTACATTCATTACTAATTCAGGAATCAAAATAACAGTCTGAAAGTGCTTACTAAGGGATATGGAAACAAAATCGAGCCCCCAAGGAACTCAGCCTAGAAGACAGGTAGGGCTCAGGGCTGATACACTTCTGATATCCCAGGGAAGGAGGGTCTCTGCCACTCCTACTCTACCAGCACCTCCTCAACCTCGAGGTCAGACTCCAAGACGAGTGGGTCACCTGTGCATGCGGACAGATCCCTCACCCTTTACTCTCAGGCTTCGGGTGGGGGTGGGAGTGTGCCCCTGTGGCTGGCACCGTCGGCTGACCCACTCCTCGGTTGGTCCCCCTCCTGCTCTTCCTTTTGGAGTGTGGTCAGATTCTGACTGGTTTTAGACTTAGAGGGAGGAAAGGGGTCCTGGTCTTCCACCCAGATCAGCAGAGATCCAATAATAAAGGGGAGCTTAAAGGGGAGCTCCTGCCCAGGAGGGGAAGGGATTTTTTTTGGTGGGAGGAGCCAGTGGCTGGAGGGAGATTTGCATAATCCTGAGTCCCTGTCATACTACCACCTTAGACCATTAAAATTTTCTTTCAACTTCAAACATACAGTTGCAATTCCAGACAGTAGGTGGGTATACCAGTTACCGTGGAGCTATCAAGGAGGTTACAGTCAGTCGTGGGAAGATATGGAGAAAGGAGTCTTGAAAGATGAGTAAGAAAAGGCAAGGTGTGGGAGGACGCTGTGGAGGGAGCACAGGCAGAGATGGTCCAGAACTGAGTGGGTTCTGTCTGTGCACATACAAAGAAAGGCTGGCACTCTTTCTGTATGCAATAGACTGTCCCGGTTCATAATTCTGGTCCCTCACCCCAAACCTCCTTTGTTCAGTCCCAGCTCAGGACAGCACCATCAATAAATCCATCCAGCATGTGCCGTGTTCCTGGTCAGGATGTCATAACAAAGACCAGAAAGCCGAACAGCAGAGGCAGAAATAACATCCTTGCCCTCTTGGCTGTGGTTAAAAAAATATTGCAAAAGATACAAAAGCTAGTCACCTAAGGAAGAACTATCATTACTCAAATTTAATATAGTAAAGAGAACATGGGCACATTGAAGATTTCTGATTTATTTTGCAAATGATATGTAAATGTAAAGCCATTCCCAGCTTTGTGCCACCTCTCCGATGGTTCTTAGTTCTCTGGGCTGTGATGGGCCATCTATAAATCCTTTCCCCAGACAACTGCTGGCTGAAGGTTTGATAGTTAGGCACTGGGTTTGAGCTGTGGAGAGGCCAGGGAAGATCATTAACAGTCCAAGTTCAAAGCAGCCGGGAACTGGCTGAACAGCTGCTCCCTGCATTTATACAACAGCAGACCCAGAGGGAAACACCAGCATCTGCGAAAAGTTTAAGAGGAGGTGTTATAGTTTTCCCTAACTCCTAGAGAAGAGCTCCAAGGGTCATTATAGAGGCAACACAGAACATTTGATTACACCTTTAAGGTCCAACCTTCCACTGTGCCTGTTATTCACCTATCTGTGTGAAACCAGTAGGTAAGTCAAGTGAGTAAATGCCTTCCTAGCTTGGAAAGAGGTTCATATTTCAGGGTTTATTCAAATTTACCTCTTTTCAACAAAGGTAATTACGTGATAGCCACTGTCAGGCTTTATAATCATTTACCATGAAGAAACAGCATGCCTCCAACTGAAATGGATGATTTCATGAACATGATCTTTCAAGAACTCGAGTGAGTCCTTTTCTGCTGTTACCTACAACTTTTAAAATAAATTATAAAAGCATCAGGGTTTAGCTTCCAAGAGACTATTCCAGGACTAAAATGGAAGGTCTGCCAGCAATCACACACACCTGGAAACTAGAGTGGGCAAAAACCTCATTACCTATCCAACTAGAGGGTTATATAGCAAAGGCTTGTTTACTTAATAGCTGCTAAACACAACATTCCAAGAGCATGTTACACTCAGCTAAAGTAAGAGGAACTTATTTCTGGGCTTACCTGGATATCCCTTTGTGAGAAGAACATTTTATTCGGGGGACTGAGACCAGATGGTAAAAGAACTCGCCCCTCAGTGGGCTGGTACTAAGAGGCCTGCTGAATAACAATCCCACGGCAGAAGGTGGTTCTCATTTCCTAATGGCGTCTGGGTTAGAAAGTGGCCCATGGTAATAAGCCAGCCTCTCCAATTTACTGAGCCTAGAAGCTTAAGAGATACCTGACTGGCACTTCCGAGAACTGCTGTTTGCTCTGTGGCAAACGTCTCTAGCCGCGGCACAGCCTGTTACCTGGTACCACCTGGAACCCTCACCCCCACCTCACTTCACCCCTGCCCAGGGACGCGATTTACCTTTGGGGCACAGCTATTTCTGGACACACACACACACCACTCTGGGTCTCTTCCCTGCCAGGCACCCACACTTACCAAACCAGTCCAGAAGAGAAAGAACAGGAACAACCATGCCGTATCTGTGCATTTCCTATAAATCTGAGGTCGCCATGGTCTTTGCCTGGGGGTTCTTTCTGCGGAATCCTTCCAGAATAAGAAGGAAGAGTGTTTAGGAAAAGAGGATAATTATATATTTAGGTCCCAACCTAGAAAATGAGCCCAAACTTACTAGAAGACTGTTTAAAGTAACTTTTTTTTTTTTTAAAACGTGGCCTCCGGAACCGTTTACCAAGCCTTTGAAACACCTGCCGTGTGCGGAGCGGATAAGTTCCCAGCCGCCGAGTCCTTACCTGGAGACGCACCTAGAGGCAGCCCCAAGTTGGTGCCTGGAGGCCAGCCTCTCCCGCGCCTCCGCCCCAGCAGCCGAGTGGGTCCGCGGTCCACCCCACCAGGTGCCCCCGGAGGCGGCGGCGCAGGGCGGGAGGTCGATCCGCGGGATCCCGGGAGGCGGAAGCGTCCCCGCGGCGCAGGTGCGTGGAGGGCCCGATCCTTCCCCGCGCGCGATCCCTCCCTGCGGCCAGGTGCGGGCCTTACCAGGTGCTCCGCTCCGAGGCCCTGCATCTTGCCCTTCGCGCCGGGGGCCGCGCACTGGGAGCCCTGGCTGAGCCCGCTGCGGGCCGGCTCGGAGCCCGGAGGCCGACCGGCCAGAAGGGGCGCAGCGCCGCCCCGCGGCAGCCTCCGAGCGCCACGGACTTCGCCCTGTGCGCCGTCCCGAGCGGCCCCCGGCCCCCGCGCGCCCCCGGGGCCGCTCGGGTGCACCACCCGGCGGCCCGCGCGAGTCCCCCAAGCACCTCACCCGAAGCGGGGCTCTTCGCCGCTCGCCTAAACCACCGCGCGGTGCGACTCCCGACTTGCCCGCGTAGCCCGCGGAAGCGTGAGGTCCCCGCTGGCCCCGCCACGACCCTGCGCGCACCCCCGCTGGGGCCTAGTTAGCGTGCGGCCCCGCAGAGAGCAGGAAATAGAAAGTGTCGGGAAACCATTGCGGAGGGCGGGCCACGGTGGAATGCCGAATTACATCTACATAGCTAACAAGTGAGCGCCTGTTCCCTGCATCGGGTTCTATTCTAACCGCTTTCAAAGGCATTATTAAAGAGTCAACCAGGCAGAAACTACCATTGCCCCAATCTACAGATGAGGCAAACTGAGGCACGGACAGTAGCCATGTAATTTGCTCGGGGACACACAGCCAGCAAACTGTAGAGCTAGGAGAGCTGAACCCCAAGACTCGAGGGGTTGTCAGGGTGGTTCTCTTAACACCAGGATGCGGCCCGGGGCTGCTGTCCCACGATGCGTGGAGAAACTAAAGCAGCTGGAGGAACCGCAGCTTCCAGGAAGTAAATCAGAAATTAAAAGGCTGGGGAATCTAAAGATTGCCTTAATCTGTGAACATGTGGAAGGTGGGTGGCAGGAGGAGACGCCACAAAGTTAGGTGGGATGAACCAGACTTCAGGTTCTGCTTTCGCCGCTCTGACCCAGTGGTCGCTCTTCACAGGTGAAATGGTAACAACTCAGAAGCCACTGGTGGGGAGTCCTCCCTGGGAATAGCTGACCAACCCAAAAGTGCTGTTGGGGTGAGACATTAAAAACTGAAGGTGGACCCCCTACCGCCCTTTCACTCACCTCCCCACCCACACACCTAGGGCGGCCAGGTTACTGTTTCTTTTCAGCCCTGCTTCTCCCTGAGGGTAGAACCTGGCTGAGGAATGATCTGGTGTAGTCAGAGTGGGAGGGACGCACAGTGGCTCTCCTGTGCCTGAGACTGGTTCTGGGCTCATCACCGACCTCCCACCCCTAAGTCACTGGGCCTTCTGGATGCATGTTGATCAGAGTAGCTGAAATTCCAAGAGAACATGAATTCACAGGCCAAATAACTACACCTGTGAGGAGTACAACTACCATAAAATGATAACAATTGAACAATGTATGCCGTCTGAAATGGAATAATTAAAATTGGACCAAGATTTTTAAGTAAGCATGATAAATACATTTAAGTAAGTGAGGAATGACAATAGCAATATAGGTCAGGAAAAAAATCATGGAACTAAAATAAATAGAAACATCAAACATGAAGAATATGATAATAGAATGAATATTCTTTATCAATAACATGGATAAACCATAGACTGGATGCAGCTGAAGAGGCATCAGTGATTGATTGGAAAGAGTAGTTTCAACAGCTTGCCAGCAAAAGGCAGCTATTTTTAAAATTTCTAATTAATATCAAGAATAGAACTAGAACAGAAAGGGAATGATATAAAAACAAAGAGGAAGAAATATTTGAAGACAATGGGAATAAATTTCAAGGTGGAAAGAGGGAAATAAATCTCAGATTTAAAGGACAAGTCTCAAGCCAAATATTTTTATTGTTTTAGGAATTTCTTAAAAATCCACTTATTGGAGCAATAGATTGACTACTCAAGTAATTCTCATTAGAATTACAGCTTCTCCTCAGAACCATACCTCAGTCAACTGGGTGATCCCATGACTGTGCCATTCATGGCTCACTTCAAGCCTGCCCCTTGCTGGTCCCACCCATCCTGAACTGTTAAATGACAAACCTGCTAATCCAATCAGGCTGCCTGCATTGAAAGGCCGGTCTTATACCAGACCCTAAAGATCTTATAAATATCCTATCCTTGAAATACATCAAATGATATTCATGTTCATAAATTCACAGTAATACTCAACAAAAATAAAGCCTCATTGATTGCCTTTAGAAGATTCTAGGGAACTAACTCATTATCAAAAACTGGTAAATAAAAGGACAGAATCAAGCACATATCCTGTCTCTTCTACCTGAACCATTCATCAGGGTAATCATGTAATGGATGAAGGAGGTTTCTCTTTATAAAAGTATTCTGGCTTTTAAGTGCCAAAGGAATGACAGAATTTAGGACCTCACAGTTTTTTTTTTTTAATTTATTTTTATTAGTTGGAGGCTAATTACTTTACAATATTGTAGTGGTTTTTGCCATACATTGACATGAATCAGCCATGGATTTACATGTGTTCCCCATCCCGATCCCCCCTCCC